GTGCGCGCCCTTCTCCCTGGGGGAGGGCGGGCCGGGAGCGCCCGGCCTAGGCTGCCAGCTCCTCACGCGCTGCTCCTCCCTCGTCGCCCGCCGCCCAGACTGGGCTGCCTCCTCATCCGCGGGGGACTCTACTGCCAGGCCTCCCCACACCGAGTCCTGGCTTTCTGGATGGTGTGAGAACGCCTGTATCATTTGGGGACTAATATGCAAATAGATTCCTATAGTATGTGGGGGGGGTGGCTGCTTTTTTCACTCAATACAGCCCCCTTCAGATGCACCCAGGTTGTGCCCCATAACAAGCCTGTTCCCCTTTGTCGCTGAGAAGTATTCCATGAGGTGGGTGGACCACGGCTGGCTTGACCACTTGCCCACTGAAGAACATCTGGGTTGTTTCCAGGTTTTGGCTGTTCTGAACGAAGCTGCTATAAACATTTATCCACAGGGTTTTTGTATGAACATATGTCTTCATTTCTCTGGGAAAAGCACTCAAGAGTGCAACCGCTAGGTCCTAGGGTAGTTGTGTGGAGTTTTATAAAAAACTGTTTTCCATCGTGGTGAAGCCATCTTATACTCTCACTAGTGGCGTGTGGTGACTGTTCCCCGGTGACCTCGTCAGCATTTTGCTGTGGTCACTATTTTTTATTTCAGTCACTTTGGTAGGTGTATAGTGATGGCTCATTGTGACTTTCATTTGCATTTTCATGAAGGATAGTGATGCTGGACATCTTTTCATGGGCTTATTTACCCCTCCATCTTCTTGTTGGTGTAAAGTCTGTTCATGTGTTGGGGCCCCTTTTCTACACAGATTTTCTTTTTTTAACTGTTGAGTTTTGAGAGTTCCTTGGAATTTTAGATGGTACTTCCTTGTTGGGTACGTGGCTTGCACGTATCTCCTTCCTGTCTGTAGCTTGTCTTTTCAACCTCTGAACAGAGTCTTAAGCAGAGCATAAGGTTTCAGTTTTGATGAAGCCCAATTTATCAGCTGTTCCTATTATAGATTTTGCTTTTGGTATCAACTCTAAGAACTCTTTGCTTAGCCTGAGATGGTGTCTTTTTCCATATTTATTTAAAGTTTATTTATTTTTACTTTTGGAGGGGAGGTAATTAAAGTTTCTATTTATGTGTGTTTATTCTAATGGAGGTGCTGGGGATTGAACCCCGGACCTCGTGCGTGCTAAGCACACGCTCTGCCACTTGAGCTACACCCCACCCCTCCACCCCCTTTGCCCTTATTTTTCCACGTTGCTGGGACCTGTAGACCAGGCACCCTTCTCATTCCTGATGCTGAGAGCGTGTGCCTTCTCTTAGTCACTGTCATTCCATCCGGGGATTTATCAGTTGTGTTCGTTTTTTTCCAAAAACATACCTCTTGATTTTGTTGATTCTTCTGTGCATTTCTGTTTCACTAATTTTTGTTTCTTTCTGCTTCCTTTGGGTTTGTTATTCTTTTTCTTATTTTTTGAAACAGATACTCAGATCTCTGGCTTTCGGACTTTTCCCCACTAATACTTGATTTCAGATCACAGACTTCTCTTTATAAGCACGGCTTTAGCACCGTACCACAGGTAATAATATGTCATAAACACACTGTCACTTAATAGAAATATTGTCTAATTTCCACTGTGATTTTTGACTCAGGCTATTCAGAAATTTATTGCTTAATTTCCAAATATTTGGGAATATTTTAACTTTTGTTATTAGTTTCTTATTTAATGTCGCTATGGTCAAAAACACACTCTGGATGATTTCAGTCCACTGACTGCTGAGAATTGCTTTATAATCCAGCATTGGACAAAAATTTGGTGAATACTCTGTGTTCACTTGAAAAGATTGATTTTTTCAGTTTTTGGATGCAATAGTCTATGTGTTAAGCGGAATTAATTAAGGAAACCTCGGCTAAAGTTAGAACTGGGACAGGCCTGGAGGTGGGGCATTCTCCCGTATATAAATGGTCAGTTGCCCCAAGGGGAATAGAGACGGGGCCTGTATCTCCAAAGGAAGGAACCTCTACTTACTCTTGGGCTAAAGAGGAGAACTCTCCGCAGCCCACAGCTCAGCGGTCAGAGACTGCAGCAGCCCAACCAGTGTGACGCCGCCGCGCTCCGGGACACCCCGCTCCTCCGGTGGATTCTATCCTTGTCACCAAAAGCCCCCTCTTCCCTGTAAAAGCAAGTTCCCCCTCCTTGCTCTCTGCATTTGCCTGTGGTCAGTCCTAGTTTGCTTCTGACTTTTTCTGGCTATTCCTGAATAAACTCACTTTTGCTGGTAAAATACCTGGCTATTATATTATTAAAGTTACGAGGCCAAGATTGATGGTCATGATACGGAAATATTCTATTTCTTGATTAATGTGCTGGCTTGTTCTGTCATCCACAGAGAAAAATATACTGGAATCTACCAATTCGCCTTTTATTTTTGTCAGTGTTTGCTTTATGTTTTGTGGCTATGTTAATTGATACATACCCATTTAGAATTATGTCAGCCTCTTGGATTTACCGTTTTGCAATTTTGAAAAGTTCTCCATTATGGTAATGCTTCTTGTGTTGGGACCTCTTTGTCTGATATTAAACGCTCACCAGACTTTGTTTACTGTTTCCATGGTGTGCCAATGACTAGTTTTTGACTCAGCACCTCAGCCCGCCCAGGACGGCCGGGCCCCACCTCCCGCCCCAGACTCAGCTCCGGGGCTCCCGCGGGACCTCGCTGGTGCCGCCATTAGAGGCTGGGCCGCTAGGGGCGCCGGAGGGAGCAGCGGGGCCGCGCGGAAGCAGGACCAACTCCTTCCACGGTGCTTCCGCTTTGCACTTCCCGCTTCCGGCCCGCCTGCCGTTCCGCAGTTCCGCCGCCGGACGCGCGAACTTCTCT